GTAGCCTGGGTGAATTTTTTATCACATAAGCTGACTGAGAATGCGCGTTTGTTCGTATGTGCAGTATAATGAGCTTTTAAAGTGCTTGGATTGGGGAACTTCCTCTGGCAAACGTCACAGATGTGCTTCCAATGTTTTCTTTGTTCTGAATGATGCGTGGCTTCGTGATATTTTGCGGAGTTTTTGTGCCTAAATTTTGCATTACATTCTGAACATTCGTACTTCCTTCGCGGAATATATTGGTCAATTGTATGCGGGCATTCTCCATCGAAAGTTAATACTGGCCCAAAAATATGAGCATCCCAAACTAAATTCTTCATTTCCCGATTAACTGTGTGAGAAAAATGCCAACATTCACGCTCCATTGGTATATTTCAAAACAACCTGTTATGAGTCGTTTGTATGAGGCTGGTTAGGAAAATTTAATGAACATTTTGCTGACAACGGAGGTGAAAATCATAGAGAGTTGTGGGTGCCTGGTATCAATTTTGCTCTACTAAGAGCCGACTTCAAAAAATACATGAACTCACTGTTGATGACTTTGGAGGTCTGTAGCCTGGGTGAATTTTTTATCACATAAGCTGACTGAGAATGCGCGTTTGTTCGTATGTGCAGTATAATGAGCTTTTAAAGTGCTTGGATTGGGGAACTTCCTCTGGCAAACGTCACAGATGTGCTTCCAATGTTTTCTTTGTTCTGAATGATGCGTGGCTTCGTGATATTTTGCGGAGTTTTTGTGCCTAAATTTTGCATTACATTCTGAACATTCGTACTTCTTCGTGGGGAAATGCATAGGCATGTGTCGCTCCAACTGTGACGGGTAAACAAACGGTTTTTGGCAAATGTAGCATTGGATATTGTGAGACAGTGGTGGTGCTGTTGAAGAAAAGTGTCTTCTCTGTTTGTGAGACACCAGGCCCAACTGAGACTTGAACATTACGCCACATACATCACACAAAAAGTTTTGCGTTGCACTGTGTTTTCTCATATGACGTTTCAGGCGTGAATGTTGGCGGAATATCTTTCAACAGATTGTACAAACGTGCTGGGATCCGGGTTCATTGCGGGGTGAATCGTTTTGGCATATGTCGCTAGCCCGAACTGGTAACATCTTGGATCGTAGTTCACTCATATCACCACTAACGTTTTGTCCTACAGAATGTGCACTTCCCACGTTCACTGACATTTGCTCAACGTTTGACCTGGCCCAGTTCCTTACAGACTCCACTGTGGTACGATGTGCAAAGGACGGAGGGTTTTTTGGTAGACGCTGTCTCATCAACTTGAGGGCTGTCGTATCGACTGAAATTGGGTTTGTACACTAAAAGACTCAACCACAGTTGACTAAATTAACAAGACTAAAATCAACAACAACTAAATCAACAACACGTAGATTAAATAAATAACTACTTAACTGAAAACAAAGTCCCATATTTACGGCAAAAAATATTGATTCAGGTGACCATAGGAATGAATTTCGTCACAGCAGAGTTTGAAGTAACATATCACGCAGCTCGTATGCTCTCTTTCGAAGTTTTGCCTTCGAGGTCAGTTGTGGTACTATGCTGTCACATCTATCTAGGGCCACCCGAATTCATCATGAGCGATGAGGAATGCACACGCAAATGCTGCTGCACGATGAGTGGTCACAATCACTCAGCAAGACACAAAACCTTTTCATGAGTTCTGCATTCGGATGCAAGATTCCGAAGGCTCAATCAGATTCCATATGTGCAAAGATGATGCCTATATGGTGGAACACAACTTACAACTTATCACCTACTATTTTTTATTGTCTCGTGCAATGTTCTTGTCCCGTAAGCTGGTTGTTTGGCACTTCAAATATTTCTAGCCTGGTGTGACCCATGACTACAAGTTTGAAATCAGTGCGGAATTATCCCAACGGAACAGAGAACATTACCGGATTATTGAAAACAGCCAGCGATGTACAAAAGGGCCTAAAGAGGCGTTTACACCCCTTGAACAACTAAAGTGCAATGTATACAATAAGGGTCCCCACGGATGTGAACATTTGCAGCACTGATGTGGAAGTCGTGGAGGTCGAGGAACCGATGAATCCAGCTGACCATGTTTGTAATCTCGCATACTTTATCCCCTGTTTCATATCTGTGAAGCGTCCGTTCTTGATTTCGGAAACGGTGTGTTTGCATTCACGACCAAAGTATCTACAAAAATTTTCATTTAAAAGTACGAAGGTGCTATTTTCGTGCTCTGTAACAGGCACACACCAGAATAGATGTAACCAAAAACCGTTCCAAAAACCAGTGACAATGGATTTCCTTCATAGAACCTGAGGTGATTTGGGCTACTGACCTCACGTTCGACCCAAAGTTCCTTGTAACAAAGTTCATATTATTTTGTGTTACCGAACCAAGCCCCTGTAGCAAACACCCGGGAACCACACGCGGCTTATCTATCACAGAGAATAACCGCTCCCTTCTTCAAAATCTCAAGCGAATGGGCAATCGCCGGACGGACGTTTCCCGGGATGTACGTCATTTCGGCGAAATAGCTGTCGTTAAATGCATGCTTCAATAGCATGTTATCTATGAGGCGGGAAGGGAGTGGAGAAAAAAAAATCAATGTAGTTAGATGAAGTACTCTGAATACAATACGCAACACGACTTGTCGCAGAGTTTACAAATAAACCTTTCACATAGTTTTGTCGACGACCCTTCCATGGTTGAACGTCATTTGAACTTCGGTAAAATTGGGCGTTTCGTGAAAGAATACTAATGTTGTTTCAGCGGAATATTTTTGGCCATTTAGGATGCGGCCCGCGAGCTCAGGGTGACCACCGTTAAAACAGTCAACAAAAGAACCATTTCAATCTAAATTCGGCAACTTGTTGGTTCCGTTCAACGAATACTGCAAAAACCCATTTTGATGGGATCAATTAGATAATGCTAAGTTTGAGAAACTGTCACTGTATGTCTCTGCCCCGCTCTAGGGGCTGAGGAGAGGCTAAACCCTAGTTTAATGCCGACCTAATCTAATTTATTGAGTGGCCACGTGCGGAGGAAAGAACGTTGGTCGTTAACCTTGTCTCGACCTAGTTTCAAGCTTTGCTCAGTTAGTGTGACTGTGAATGACGAATGTCCCAGTCGGATTAATGTCCGCATGTGGATAGATAATCAAAAGGTTTTATACAAGCATTGCCATTTTTCCTCATCAACTAAAAGCAGATCGAGTTGTTGCAACATATTCTAGCATGTCTCGCCACGAATTCATCTATTCCGAATTTACCGATATCAGCCATGGCAACAACCGGAAGTGAACACGCATATGCTCGACACAGAATCGATGGAGAACGACCGTGGTCAATTGAGCAAAACTCTGCTTTGTATTTGGGAATATCACTGGACTTAATGGTTCATCTAAAAGCCCAACCGCGTCCCACTTATTTATTACAGGATCAGTCCGAAAG